AGCTGTTCTACTGACTATACCTAAGGTATACACATTTGTTAAGTCAGATGACTGGTTTCTTACTCCATTAATTGTGTATTGGTAGTGATTGGGAAATAGACATCTACATGTAAATGTGGGTTTTTTTAAACCTCGGTTGGGAGCCTTCAGCGGATGAAAAAAAAAATTAAAAGTAAGACAATGTTTTAAAAAGGCTGAAATTTTTAAAAATACTTCTTTTCATGGCCAGCCCTATCACCCCTAGTCCTACAGAGTTACATAAGGAGAAGACAGAAACCCAGAATCCATTCAGTCCTACACAATCATTTTTTTTGTAACATTTTAAAATAGTGTGAGGAGTGCAGTTGGTCTGGTTGTGCACTTGTCTGCCTGTGGGTCTGAACCCCTGCTTTTGCTGAGTATTGTGTTTCAGTATTGTAGGCCGAAGTTCTTCCAACAATTAATAGCTCTGTAAATTATTTTGGTACAAAAAAATCCCAAACCCCACTCTAGTTTTTGTAGTGAATGTTTCCTTCCAGTGTTGCTTTTAGCATCCTGGCATGTTTCCCAGGAAACATGCATCTTAATGATTCATACAAATATTAATGTTACCAGAAAGAAATAATGTACCTTGAATGGCTTTAAGGAGATAGAATACTGCAAAGCTTAACTTTATCAAGCCTGACTGTGAATCTCAACTATTAGAGGGGAAAAGTAGTTTTCTGTTCTTTGGGCTTATTTGTAAGTCTGTCTTGAGAAAGGCAGGTAAAAAAGCTTCTGGTGCTTTCATGGAGTCTGAGATCTTTGGTGAAGTTTGGCATTATAACTCAAGCTGACATCAGATGCTTTTCTACAAAACTTGTGCGTAGCAAGTTTTTTTTCTGTTCTGCTGTGAGTGAAACTGATATATTTTGGAGTCTTTGCACTGAGGAAGGCCTGTCCCACTGCAAACAGCATGGTGCTTTGGTGGTGCTTGATGCTTGGCATGGCTCATGGGCGTTCACCTGAAAGAGGAACATTACCATTAGTACTGGAAAACTGGGATTTGAAATTGAGTATCTCAGTAATTCTCATTGGAATGCCTTGGCTGTTTGGCCAGGGATTATTTTGAGCTCTAAGTTGTATGCTGTCTCCTAGTTGTTTCTTTGTGCATGTATATTAGGGTTTGGTTTGAATACCCTTTTTTTTTTTTACTGTTCTTTATTTGTATTGCTTCAGAAATTCTGTGACCTCAAGAACTCTTTCCTGATATAAACTAGTGCATGTAGTTATTATGTTTTTATTTTTGTTTTCTGTGAATTGACAGGCATCTGCAAAAATCTTTGAATTCAATAAATTCTCATTTCCTGGTGAGAAGATGCTTTATAAAAACAACTCCCAAGTAATCATAATTTAACTTCTTCTAGGCTCTTTTCTCCCTGTGTAAAGTGAAAGATAAAGCGCAACTAGAAACATCAGCTCGAGARTCATGAGTTATGGTGAAGTGCTGAAGGGGGCTGTAAGTGATATCTTGGCTTTTATTAAATGAAGAATATGAAATACTTTTCACTTTTTCGTGGCTGTTCTTTATGCACAATAATCCCTAAGTACCTGTTAAAAGGAAATGGACCAAAATTCAAGATACTTTGTTCTCATACTTGCTTCTTCTGTAAAGGAGTCTTACCTTGTTGGTAAGGATGCCTCAGCTCTTCCCCCAAGCTGTGATGACCAGTAGTACGTCTCTTGGTTGCAGCTACGCAATCTTGTCGTTGTCCAGGACAGGCATGGTCCCGATGACGAATATGTTGGACCTGATATAAATTCCTGCAAACTGACAGAAATGTTTACTAAATTTAAGCATCTCAGACCATCAGGTTTCTTCCCCTCTTCTTACATGTTTGTCTTTAGAACAGTAAGATATACTTCTGCACATATTTACAAAGTATCTCAAGATCACAGTGAGAGATATTTTTTATTTGGCTGTATTTAGTTTAAAAATTTTTTAAGAGATAAAATTAGTGATCCACTAACCCAATTTCCCAAACAAGATTGTTCACCCGGGGCTGATAGTTACAGATCCAGGAAACCTATACACTCCTGCCTTTACTGCCTGGTGCCTGGAAGATCCTGATGATTCTGGTTTTCTTATTTTAAAGAGAACTGAATTRGTGCTGCTGACATCAGAGTCGATGCTGAATATTATCAGTCTGTGAGATACAGCTGGTTCCTGGGTTTGTGCAGTTTAAGGCTCTGATGTGTGAGTGGTAGTGCCTGCATCTGTAGGAGCCGGTGTTCCTGCCCACTCTGTACAGGAAAGATGACATTTTGCCTGATGAGGGAACCTTGTTGCAGAAGGGTGACACCTTGCTCTGTTAGAGCTCTTATGTCAGACCTCTAGAAAAAGCTGCGTTAGATTAAGGGTGCATGTGAGAGCTGACTCGAACCTGACCTGAGTCCAGGTCCCACAAAACTCAGGCCAGCTATCATCTGTGCTGCAGAGAGCCTGGTTCTGGTGTAYGATGCACTCTTTATCCCTGCCTGTGTGAGAGGAAGGCAGTTTGTACCTGAAGAAGAGGAGGAGGTTTTGTCCATGCTTCCTCCTCTGCCAATGACAGCACTCCTGTCTCCCCAGAGCTCCCACCCATCCTGCAGGCTCACAACTGTGCCACATTCCCTTGACTCAGCTGCTGTGCTCTGCCTCTGACCCCTTGTCCTTGTGGACCTTGCCTTCAAATCTGCCTCCCTGCCTTCTTGGAAAGGCAGGCTTTCCCCAGTAATTGAGATGAATGATTGCCATCCCCCTGGACTAATTGCACATGTAATCTATTCTTTCCTCTTCTCCAGGGCTTCTCTTTCCACAAAATAATCCCCAGAGTATAAGCACAACAAAAGCACCAAAAAACCCAAACAAACACCCCAAGCAAAGAAACAGCTTTTGCTGTTTAAATGAAAAGAGATAACGGGCAAGAGGAAGAAGAGGCTGGAGCAAGTTTCTACACTCATTCTTTATAGATGTGCCTACTGGGACAATGAGGAGCATATGCTTTTCTCTATGAAGAGCAGACCTTCCCATCACTGGGAAACTAAACACAAGACTGAGAACTGCTTTGTAGAGTTTCATCCCAAAAGGATGTTGTTGCACTATATGAAACTGACTGCTTTCTGCAAGACCTGCTAGGAAAAAACCCCAATCTTGTACTTTGTGACCCCCTGTGGTTCATTGCCACTTGCTGTGTGCCAGGAAACTCCCTCTGTATTGCAGAGTGACTCTGGCATCATATGCTAATTGTATCAGATAGACGTTACTGGGAACCTAGTAGCTGAACAAATTTTCTGGATCTATTTTGGCATGTATACTTATATAGTAGTTAATGGTTTAATCTGAAGTGAAACCCTGCAGATCGACTGTGCAAATAAATAGTTCTTAAGGTTAAATGCTGGTTTCCTGCTTAGGAAGGAGTACACTGTTTTGTTTAATGTAGTTGTGACAAAATTAGTCTTCCTTATAATATTTGGTGCACTTGACAAGCAACTGTATTTGGTAATTAATTTCTGAAACACTAAATAATAGAAATTATGAAGGCTCTGTTCAGAGCTCTGGCTACATTTGAGTAGCTGAACATGGTGGTTTTTCTGGGTTAAAACAGTTTTAATATTAGGTTTTTGGAATGTAAGTGACTAGTGAAGCAAAATGCATGAATGCCAAGTTAATGAATGAGTGCTCTTGTGGTTATCAGCTTACACATTCTGTATATTCACTTTGTGCTAATATTTAAAGTGTTCTGGCTTGTCTGTTAACATCCAAATGCAAAGTTAAGAGCAGGAGAGAAGTGTCAAAACACTTCATGTGTCCTTCACAAATTGTATGGAAGCCTGTGCTAGGTGAAGGGTGTTAATCCCACTTAAAAGAGTACTGTGTCTTGGATACTGGAGAGCCTTGGTTTAGTATTGGAGTACACTACAATTTATAGAGGCATAAGAAAGCTAAGGATAACATATAAAGGTAAAAGTGCGTATTTGAAATGAATCAAAGGAACAGGGGGCCTTAAAAAATTAAAACAGGCACCCCAATTACGGGAGGTTCCTTTTGCAGTTTGGAATTACAGGGACCCTTTAATGCAAGACTGGGTTTTTGGCATTTGCTCTGAAATGTCTCAGTGTTGCTACTGTGTTGCTTTATGGGCTGAAGTGTAGATGGGAATTGGACTCAGAGTTGGAGCTATAATCCGTGATTGAGGAAGCAGTATAAAGGCCAGCAGTCAACACTGGATGTAATAAATTGTGAAAAATAAGGTGGATGGTACTTCTGACAAGTGGCAGCATGGACACTCCACAAATGTTTAGGGGTACCTGAAAGCTACATAATGCTTACGCTTTTCATTTGTGGGCTAATGGGTAGAACAAATTGATCTGCTAAATTTCTACTCCGTAAGATTGTAGCATATATGCTGGAAAGAAAATGGATGATTTCTGATTCCTAAGGCTGTAGGAATCGGATTTTCTTGATGTAGTATTTATCTGAATGACATTTACCAATTAATTAAATGAAAGGTAAAGTGATTCTTAGTTGTCTGGCCCATATTGAAATCAGTAGTTTCAATATGGAGGTAATCAGTTTATGAATAATTGTGCTTTAGAGTATGTCTTTATATCTCCTTTTTAAAGACCAGACTCCAGATGCTCCCTTCTGTTTGGATTAAGAATGTGATTTTATGAAAAGTTGTATGAAAAATTGTTTTATTGGGGGAGAAGAAATAGCAGAGTAGTCCTTTTTATTTTGCTAATAAAATTTTGTTGCTAGTGTGTAATGCTGTTGGGGAAAAAACCTCACTGAATAATGGAATATGACTATTGTCAGCATTTTCTAACTTTTTAATTGCAAAAACTGTAATCAGAACATGAAATAATTAGTATGAATCTTCAAAAGTGCATTTACTACTTCTTAAATGTGCAAACAAAATCTGCAGTTATATATAAAAACAAGATTAAAAAGTGTGTCTCATATTATTTTTCTGTTTGTTTGTTTTTCCTTTTTGTAATAGGGCTTTATTTGTCCTCTCTGTATGAAGTCTCATGGATCAGCAGAGGAGCTGTTCAAGCACTATGAAGCAGTGCATAATTCTGGCATTGATTCAACTCACAGAGGGGAAGGTCATCTGTCACCAGAAAGGTGAAACAGTACTCATTTGTGCATGTGCTTTTGTGCCAGTGTTGAGCTGCTTCTAGTTACACTGTAGCTTTTATGAATTTGAATTTATGTAGTCAAGTATTTTAATGTTGATGCCCCATTTCCAATCAGAATTAAAAGGGAGCTTGAAACTTACAACTGATACTGATGTGTCAGTAAATGGAAATCAGATACATGTGTTGATGATATTAAGTCAACTGTTTCTGGTTCAAGTGACAATGCCGAATTATAGACCAGAATGATTTTCAGAAGTGTGGCAGAAGAAATACAGGTTCCTTGTAATTTCCAACACAGAGCTGAGAATATCATCATTTGAGAGTGGTGAGGACAGCCCTAAAGATAGATGAGAAACCCGATTTTGTCCCTGGTTAATTAGGATACTTACTGAGTCATTACAGTATCAGTAGTTGCCTAAATGGCTTCCCTTATTACCTAGTTATTTACAAATCGGAGAAGTTTATGTCTATGCCAGTAATAATCCTTCTGTGTTTCAAAATCTCCATGCTGATCTTCAGAAATCTTAACTAGTTTATTTAATTTTTTTGGTCAAAACTGTATTGTTATGTAATCCCTAGGAAGCATATCAGGTTGTTTTGTTTTTGAGAGCAGCTGTAGCAGGATCTGATTATGTGAAGCTTTCCCTACAAATTTTTAACTGAGTAGTCTGTGTTGCTTTGGGAAGGTTTTTTTTTTGGTGTAAAATGTATATAGATTTTCTTTTGCTTCCTGCTAGTTCTTTTTCTGTTCAGTGCTTGTTTTGCACTGTTGTAAAAACAGTCCATGGTGCTGTTTTGTCATGCTCCCCCAGACTCCCTTGCTTTGTACACAAGAGGGTCAGAGTGAGCAGCAGAGAGGTACATAGCACATGGCCCTGTGGCTTCTGCTGATGTTGAGAAGTGAGCAGTTCAAATGTTTTGTCATAAGGAGAAATGTGACCCAAAATGACAAATAATTACTTTGAAAGAAATACATGTGTTTATGTAACTAACTAAAGAGAAGGGTGGCTCTTTGGTGAGATAAAAGTGTGGAAGATAACACATTTCAGTTGTTATCCAAATGCAGATCCGTATCTCCCTAGTATTGTGCAAAGCTGGCAAGCCAATAGGAGCCAGCATTAGTAGAGGTCTTGGATGACTCCTTCCTTGTTGATAGCTGCCTTCTCTCTCAGCTGCTGCAAAAAAAAAGAAGTAAAAATTAGGGCTTTATACAGGATAAAGTGATTGGGTACTAGCGAAATCATATTGGGCCTCTGATGAGCACATTTATTCAATAAGGAATACTTCTTTGCCTGATTTAAGCCTTTTTAGAGTAATACAGCTTAGACCAGAGGTGATACTTTGGTAGGATAATAGCATTCATTGGAGGAATTATTGGTCATAAATATATTGTTTATATAATTCATTAAATGCTTGTTTTCATGCCTGCAAGTTTCCAGTGTCAACCAGATGTTGGCTGGTGAAATAAATGTTTATTTTTCCCTGGCTCACAACATTATAAGGACAAGTGGTTTTGTTTTTGCTCACATAATTGAAAAAGTGAACAAGGCAGGGAGTTTTGATGGAATGAAGAGAGTTTGGTGAGAGCTATTGTGTAACTCATGAGCTATATTTTCCTATTATTGTGGCATTCTTTAATGCTTCTCATTTGCATGCTTGCTTGAGAAAACTCATTCAATGTAAATATGTGTTTCCAAGACTTGGAATTCCATATTGAAGAAATATTGCAGCCTGCAACAGGGAGCCACTCCACTTGCTCCACGTGTGAAGCTTATGTGCAGTTCTTAGGACCAAGATTGAGAGGTGAAATTCCGTATTTAGTCAATAGGAAGAGTTAGGTACTATAAATTACACAGTGTCCTCTTCTTCACGCTCCCCAATAAACTACCGTGAATTAGTTCCAAGATTAAATCATGCAGCTCCCCCCAGTGCGATTCAGCAAGGCCATCACTACTCAGTGTGTGGCACTGACTTTACAAGTGGGAAACAGAGTGGACCATAAAAAAAAAGCACTAAGGATTTTCCAGATGGTAGGCTCACATGTGCTGAGAGGAAGAAGGACTTGTCACAGCCCTAGCAGAAAAGGAGATCTAGTGAGGATTTGGATGATGGGAAGAAAAGTGAAATTGCCATATCTGTAGTGATCCTTTGCACTAATTCTCCCCCACTCATTTTCCACTAGTCAGTTAAACTGAGTTTAGGTTTGATCTTAAAAAACTGTCAAGCAAAATTTTGTTGGGGCTATCAAGGCAACTACTATAGAAGGGTTCTTACATTACAAACTCTTTTCCTTTTCCTCCTCTCCCTTTCCCCTCTGCTACAAACTAGCATTATTTAAATCAAGCCCTTCAATCTATTGTGAAGACCACAGCATCTTTAATATTTTAGTAGTGGAGGTCTGGTATATGTCCAGCCCAACTTCAGTACAGTTAACTGTTTCACCTGCCTGAAATTTTGTTTATAATCTTAGATCTGAATATTAGCTCATTTCCCTACTCATACTGGTGAGTAAGCGGCTCCCTCTTCTCCACCCACAGCCAATGGACAAGTTTTGGAATACAGCTTCACGTGCCTCAATAAAGTTGTGTTTACAAACCTCCAGTGAATGTATTACACAGGCAGAATAATGTATACATAACAAAATTTCCCTCTTGAAAAAGTAAATCTCCCAGTATCCCAGGTTTGTTTTGTCATTGAAATTGGTTCATCTCGGAGTTCTTGCTCACTGGTTCAAGTGCACGTTTCACTTGCTGCTTAATGCCCCAGACCAACGGTTAATATACTAATGTAGATTGAAACTATTCCTCATTAGTTTAGCTAAAGAATAGCTTGCTTTGGTGTTTTTTTT